CAGCAACTGTTTCCCTAAACAGCATTAACAAGCTGGGCTTTGTAGCGGAGACGTAATGTTCCCTGTGAGGTACGGACTGAATTCTTATATATACTGCATTCTGCCCACAGAGTGTATCTGTGTGTTCCGTATGGTTCTCACAATAGACAGTGGCTGGTTCCCTAAAGAGCAGTAACCGGTTGGGCTCTGTATCAGTGACGTAATGTGTTTCCTGTGAGGTACGGGCTGAATTCTTATATATATTGCATTCTGCCCACAGAATGTATCTGTGTTTTCCGTATGGTTCTCACAGTAAACAGCAACTGTTTCCCTAAACAGCATTAACCAGCTGGGCTTTGTAGCGGAGACGTAATGTTCTCTGTGAGGTACGGACTGAATTCTTATATATACTGCATTCTGCCCACAGAATGTATCTGTGTGTTCCGTGTGGTTCTCACAATAAACAGCGACTGTTTCCCTACACAGCAGTAACCGGTTGGGTTTCTGGCGGAGATGTATGATATCTCCGAGTAGGATTAACATTAACTTTTGAAATTTTGTTAAATATCTTGCAAAGATAAAACAGTTTTGCTAAAGTGGTGGAAAAGTATATAACTACAGCCCCGCCCCATAGCTCAAGCGGTTAGTCGCTAGCTTCCCACCGCGGCGGCCCGGGTTAGATCCCGGGTCTGGTCAATTGGGATTTGTGGTGGACAAAATGGCGCTGGGGCAGGTTTTCTCCGAATACTTCGGTTTCCCTTGCCAATCTTCACTCCACCATTTGCTCGACCATCACCCTCACCTATCATCTGGGGCTGGTACAATAGGCCAGAAGTGGCCGCAGTACAAGGGACTTCGTCCCACCCCACTAGCAATAAAAAAAAATATATATATACCTACAGCCGACTCCAGTATTGACGACATTATAAATAAAAGAGCAGCTTTCGTTTAAATTACCATTGCACATGCGCACAACGAGATACAAGAAGACCTGTAGTAGCGCAGATATTCCCATCCTCCACGCAGTTTCTGTCTCTCAAATTTATGTTTCTCCTTTATCACTCTCTTCGGAACACTCTATCTAAATTGATGACCATCCCTCGGCAAAGGGGGAACAACATTTCACGATCATAAAAGTCATTATGCATTTCAATCATTCAGGAGAAAACAAGGTTGGTGATGACACGCTCACAAGTTCACTTGGAGCGACTGCGTGTGACGAGAGAATGGACGAATTTGGAAGAAATTCGGCGTTACAAATCTTTAGGAAACGTTATAAATCAGATATACTTTTGGACAAGTCGTGACAAAGTGAACAGCCAATATGGGGTCCCAAATATACTTTCAGATATATGCATTCCGACGGATACGAATTAGAAACTAAACATTTAAAAAATATATTTTAATGGAGTCGAATCTAAAATCTTGGAGCTGATCAGACTCCCTTCGGAGTCCAACAAATTACATAAATTTCTATTCAGTTAACAATTAACTAGCAACTAGCCAAATGACCAACTTGACTGCTAGGTTGACGAAATAAGGTAATTTTCTAATGGTTGTTACCTAACTCGCTGTAGATCTGACTCTCTGGTAACCGAACCAGAAGATTCATCACCGTATCCACATAATCCCTCAACTGTATAATTCAGCCTTTTTCGTAACTCATTATTCCATTACACTAAGACCAACTTTAATATTATCGTTTACCTCCTCCATATTCAAAGTATTCTAATTTCGATTAATTTTTTTTTCAGTAAGCTTCCGTTCCCAACTCCTGTTTCCTTCATCCACTGTACATGTCCACCCCATCAAAACCTCGACTTCACAGTAAAATGAAATACTGTCAAAGTATTTAGTTGGACACAGAAGTGCGCAAGGCCCCACACTTGACTGAACCGAGTACCACTCACCACTGCAGGTTCCACATGGAGTGGCAGGAGGTATGTCTCAGCGCGGTGATGGGGAGGGTCACCTCGAACTCCACCTGCATGTCCGTCTGCTCGTCCATGCTACTGACTGACCACTGTCCACAGCGTTGCGCGTGGTCACCCCACTACTGGTCCGCAACACTTGCGCCGTCACTGGGTATTCCACCCGCAACGCTGTCTCTCAGGTAGGGTGCTAAGTGACCGACATCGGATAGTTTCAACTTTCTTCGAACTTCGAGAGACATTCCGGACATACCCCAGGTACGAGTCCCTCCATACTTTCTCCCCTGTACCCGCGGCAGTACACCACTTTCGAGGGATGCTCAGTGAAAATTCAACAGTTCCCATTACTAGCTTAATTAATTAATCACTATGTCATGAAGGTGTGTGGGGGTGTGGAATTATAGCTCCACAATACCTGACCTCAGCACTAGATGGATGTCAGCGGTCTGCTTCACGCCCCGGTCGCTTTGCCCCTCGGGAAATTGGCCCAGGTACCCACTGGATAGGAGGTTGGGTGGGCTTCAGAGCCGGTCTGGACTCAACAAAGATGAGAAAAAAATTGTCCCTGCCGGGAATGTAACCCCGGTCATCCAGCAGGTATCCCGTCCTTACGCTAGGATCCAGCATGGCGCAGTCGGTATAAAGACTGGCTACGGGATGGACGACCGAGAGGGAGAAGTTCGATTCCCGGTAGGGTCAAGATTTTTCTTTTCTCCATGTCGTCCAGACCGACACTGAGTCCCAACCAGACTCCCATCACATGAGTATAAGGGGTGATTTTCCAAAGGATAAAGCGGCCGGGGCGTGAAGCAGACCACTGACCTCCATCTAGTGCCGAGGTAAAAAATATTTGGATCGACACAATCACTTCCCCATACGCCTTCATGGCGTAGTTAAGCACAGGGACAACTTTATCATCCCCACCAACACTTTCCACGTATAACCCTTCCATTTATCCACTGTTACTTGTCGCGACTTTTGAGGGACACTCAGACATCACGGTTTCTCCGAATACGCAGGCTATGAATTTTGAAGGTTCTGGCAGTGCCGCTGTAAGATGCAGATAAATCAAAATCGCACGACTACGAACATACGGGACATTCCAGTTACCTACAGTACCATTCAACAGTCACAGATGCGCTCCTCTCATGCAACTGCAGGATGTTACGAGAGTCTAACATCAAGCGCCCGCAGTGCCGACTGCACGCTTCACAGTAAAGTCAGAGAAGTTGCCGCATTAGCACGGCTACTCGAAGAGAATTGTTAATGACTGCGGGGTTTAAAGTTATGTTACTTGTTGGAATAACAATTTTTGTAAACTGTGGTAGTCGAAGTGCTTCCCGAACTACAGTTCTCTTCCTATATCATTATCATACTTGATTCGAAATGTCTGGGAAACGAATATAAATAAACTAGAGATAGGTACACGGGAGGAGAGTATTTGAACCGAAGAGAGTTGAAGTGACAGGAGATTGGAGAAAACTGCATAATGAGGAGCTTCATAACTTATGATCTTGGCCAAGTATAATTAGAATGATCAAGATAAGGAGTATTAGGTGGGCAGGTCATGTAGCAAGAATGGGGGAGACGAGGAATGCACACGGTATACTGGTGGAAAAGCCAGAAGGAAATAGACCACAGGGAAGACCAAAGCGTAGGTGGGTGGACAATATTAGAATGGATCTTAGAGAGATAGGATGGGATGGTATGGATTGGATAGATCTGGCTCAGGATAGGAACCAGTGGAGGGCTCTTGTGGACACGATAATGAACCTTCGGGTTCCATAAAATGCTGGGAAATTCTTGAGTAGCTGCAGAATTGGCGGCTCCTCCAGAAGGGCTCATCTCCATGAGTAAGTAAGCAAGGAAGATAGGTACAGGTACACAGTTCACAGCTCGCCTGCCTGGTTTGCTTTGCCGTAACATACTGTTCCAATGAGGAGAGGAGGTGTTGGTACCCACGAAGGCTACTTACTCGGCGCACAAGCCAATTAGACGCGAACAAGCTATCGCATGTCATAACCATTTTGTTTACATGTGCTCCGAAGACTTTCCGCACGTAGTAGTGATACTGACTGTAACGCACTTTTTCATCTTTGCTCCCTTTACAACTCTTGTATTTTCTAACAAGTCTCGCGTGTTCTCGGAAAAGCCCAGATACGGAAACCTGCCGGTAACACAAAATGTAACGCCCACTTAACATCTGAAATATTATTAGAAAGGGTCACGCTGTAGCGTAGTTGGTTGAGACACTATACTAGAAACTGGAAGGTCCCGGGTTCGATTCCCCATGATGTCATTGGATTTTTTTTCGATTGGCCTACTCCTTCATCCGCACAATGGCCCTGAGGATGACACAGCCTTTAACAGGAATGTGTACGAGGAATTTTCCTAGGGGGAAAATGGCGGCCGGCTGTCGCGTAAAGCTGACAACCTCATCGCCATCTGCGAGCCGATTGCCTAGAAAACGTGGGAGCATCGAGGTCTCACAACCCTGTGGGCCTCCACGACCTTACTTGATTAATATGCAGTGAGATGCTTTGCAAGCGCGCACCCAGGCAGAAGAGTCAGACGGTCCTTCTGTCAAGTCGGAACTGCCCATAATGCGTAAGCTCACTTCAAAGAAGTTCTGTTTAGAAAACTCGCCGTACGTTCCCCCTGGTCAATAAAAGAAGTTCCCATTGCTGTCATGCTTTTTACGCCTATGGCAACTTTATAAATTACAAGTTGCCAAATAACGAGACAGCGGTAGGCATAGATCGCTGTATGCATTAATAGACCAAAGAAGTAATATCGGAGGAAAGGAACTGTAGGGGATTGAAACATTTTATAATATTTGGGACTCACTGCCATAGTGTTATATGATAACTGCACTAAATAGTTGCAAAAATGAAACAACGGCTGGCATACATCTTTCTGTAAATTAGTAATCACAACAGAAACGGAGACACGGACGGAACGAAGAGCAAAGATGAATAAAATTTATATTACAGATAAATTACAATGAAAGCCTAGGTAAAATGGTAAAGAGGGGGTTGGAAATTTTATTTACTTTACTCTAATTAGTGGCAAAATTGCGATGGTCCTTACCTGACAACCGGAAGAAACGAGCCGTTGCCGAACAGAAGCCCGCGCCCCTCCACTACCACTTTCTCCTCTGTTCTGATCATCTGCTTCTTCATAACTTCAAAAGCCCGCAGAACTGTGGGTATCGAAGCCAAATTTGTTAAAATTACTGCAAGACACAAACACAGTACAAGTGGAAGAAATGCCCTTGGATTGGAAACCGTCTGGCTCCGATGGGTACCACATCACAAAACCAAAAATTAAATCCTGTCCAGATTTCATACATTCGTCATTTTGTAATTTTAAGTTCTGAAAATTGTAATGATTTTTAAAAGAGGTTGCATGTTTTTCTAGGGCTTATTACGGGACTCGGCTAAAATGTGATTATTATATCCCCGCTCAAAATTTCATTCTCCCATCGTGTTATAATCCGTTGGAAATTAAAATATGAAGTGGCTGGTACGGCAAAATTTGGTAACCCTTTTTGAAATTTTTTTGCAGCTTCGTCAATATTTCTACTACAAAGCATACAATGATAGGGAGATAGGAGAATAAAAAAGTGGAAAGGATAAGTAAGGAAGCGGTCCTGACCTGACCGTACGATCTCGGAATTTACGTTGAGGAACTGAAGAAGAATACGAATAACCTCAGTCCGGACAACCGGTGTTCCGACCGACATTGGAACCCGGCACCTCCAAAACACAAATTAAAGGCTTTGTCGGTATACCACTGTGTTCGGCGAAATTTCATAATAAAACGTTCATTTTGTTCTAGAAATTGCAAGTGGAGACATATGAACACACTTTGCTTAAGAAATTTAATGCGTTAGAAACATCACTGCATGACCTTCCTGATCGGAATTAATTTTGTTCAAGTAAATTCTTTCCAAACATTTATCTTCCTTTTCTCACCGCCGAAGCCATCTATCATTCATCACGGAAATAAACAGAACCGGGATAGCTCAGTAGGCTTGAGGATGGGCTACAGGATGGAGGGCCGATGTTCGACCCCTAGCATGGTAAGATATCTTTCTTCCACATCGTCCAGACCGGCTTTGGGGCCCACCCAGCCGCCTATCCAATGCCTATCAGTCTCTCTTTCCCCGGGGGGTAAAGCGGCCAGGGCGTGAAGCTGACTGATCTCCATCTAGTTCCGAGGTTAAGAAAGATGACGCTACACCCCACTTCCTTACAACTCATAATAGCGTTGTGCTTAATTAAGCACAGGAACAACTTCTTGCAGATAAAAAGAGCAGTAATTGCAGTGGACACACGAGATATCTCGGGGCGGCTGCCGTGACGTACAGAAGTGGTGTTGCACTTCCAGGGCGTTACTGAACTCGCAAGATTGCACGTTCCGTAGGCAGCAAACGTAATATGAACCAGTCTAACCGCTCAGTGAAGATAGGGTTTGACTATTGGTACCAGTCCTAACACGAACCGTTGGCCACTGTTACCACAAGGAAACAGAACTTCTCTCACCTCTCAAGCTGTCCACCTAGCATCAAGTCTCTGCTGAAACTAAGACTTCACACCACTTTGTAGAATGCTAAGGCTCCAGGTCAACTACTCTACAAGCCGACATTAATCACGCACAGCGGTGTTACACGCGATTCCAGTGTCCCCCCAGTCTGCAGGGAGAAGTCGCCCATACGAGTGTTATTGTTAATTGTAGCAGTTGGGAAATAAATTAAATTTATCGGAATGGGGCTGGGATTTGTGTCATACATAAGGACGCGGAGCAGTACATGTCTACACACTCATTTGGATGGAAGTTTGCCAAGTCCTTACACAAGCACTTTTTATTTTGTATACATTACCTTACTTTAGTTCATAAGAGAAGGCAATGGGAGGGTAACATAGGACTGGAGCTTGAGGAAACGGGTTGTGAGGATGGGAGGTGGATGGAACTGGCTCAGGGGCGTGTCCAGTGGCGGGCTTTTGTATTAGCGGTGTTGAACCTTCGGGTTCTGCTGCCAGAGAGTCAGTTAACTAGTAAGATGGATCTTAGGGAAATAGGTTGTGAGTGGATGGAACTGGCTCAGGGGCGTGTCCAGTGGCGGGCTTTGGTATTATCCGTGTTGAACCTTCGGGTTCTGCTGTCATAACGTTTAAAAAGTTCTACATCTCAGTGAGGTAAATTCGCGTGAGGTCCATTCATTATTCAATTTAATGTATCACGGGGCCATGAATCAGAGATTGCGAAATCGTGACAAATTTTTCATAAGTATTTCTCAGTTTCTCTTGGATATTTCTGGAATAATACCTTAAAGTAGGCCACGGCAGTTTCCTCCATATCATTTCTAATTCATTGTTTGGACTATCCAAAGTTTCAAGGCCGTTAACACATTTAATTTGAGAAACCGATGTCAAACAGACCAATAAATGATTGGGCCGCATGGCCCTATGTATTTGTATGAACCAAAGAAACGTTACAATTAAGTTTATTTCAGTCCAATGTGACATATAATGCCTTCACCATTTCAGCACTTAGTTACCTAACATGTTTCGATTCTGGATGAATCATCATCGGAGGTATACCACTACGATCAGGAACCCACCAATACGTAAATGTTTTCATAAGACTATATAGACTTAAAACATTTATGATGTTCACTATACGTAGTTGTTAATCTTCCATTGTCGAAATAGATGTTTGAGGTGAACTTTTATAATAAGAACATTCTTGAAGTATATTACTTAGAAGTGGCGTAGTTACAATCACTTCCATAAAGGATGGTTTAAAAATGTAATTTTCCACTGCACTGTATACAAAATCCAATTTGTTTCGCCACTGCAGCCTTCCTTTACGTTAAAATTGTGTTGTGATGTGTGTAAAAACTAAGTTAAGAAATTTGTTCGTGAAGCAACATGGATCGTGTTTTATCTTCCTCGGTAGTGGATATTGTCGTAGCCATCCGCAGTTTCAACAAGTCACGTGACGTGAGCATACTGGAATAAAATGGGTGAACAGTGAGTTTTTGCGATGCCCGTTTCAACACAATAGGGCATACTTGAGGAATTCAACATATGTTTCGAGTTTCAGCCTTAACTGTTGTTTTCAGTTCCTAAACAGGAACGTGGCTTGATGCAACGCACCAACGGGGTCGGTGCCCCTCACTTAGGCCCCAACCGCTTCATTTGACATTATTTTCAGTTTATTACTCGGCGACTTCATAACACTTGATGCTAAAGAGTCTGAGTTATCATCAGCTTCACTACTTAAACCACAAACAAGTAAAACGGACTCAGGTTCGTGGATCGCCTACAGAAGACCGAGACAAAATATAACCTCTCCATAAAGTGATACTGTACCTGTTGGCAACCACTGGTCACGAACACGGCTTCTCCGGACAGCAAAAGCAGACAAACTGGCAAGCTGGCAAGTGGCCTACAGTCTCAAGGGTCTCAAGGGATGAAGCAGGGGGGAGTGGGGGGGCAGAAAGTCAACACGATTTGTTTTTAAGTACATGCTTACCTGGGGTGGGGGTCACGACCCAATTTCTGCATTGATAGCTGGTTGAACGCGGCGGGTGAAGGCCGCGTGCTTCTGATTATGCGGGAGTTATGCAAGTAGCATCACATTTCAGCAACAGCCATGTCGACCGTTAAATGTGGCAACAATTCGCAGTGAAATTAAGCGTGTCACTCACTCAAAATAATCTAGAGGTTCGTAGCACTACTCTTTTATATTTCGAGTAACTATATTGTCCCTCTGGCTACGTCATGAAGGCGTATGGGCGTGGATGTATACATCCACGTATTATTGACCTCGGCCCTAGTTGGAGGTGAGTGGTCAGTTTCATTCTCCGGGCGCTTTAGCTTCTGGGAAAGAGCCCCAGGTACCCATTGGATAGAAGGCTGGGGGTGGGCAGAACCGGTCTGGGCAGTGTGGATAAAATTCTTGATCCTACCGGGACTTAGGGCAATTACCTATTAACGGCTCTTGTATGGTTGCTTATTTCGTTGTCGTTGCCTAGCAATGGATCTACATGCCACGGTATATACGGCAGTTGATTGAGACAGAGGTAGGTTAGCGGTGGCAGAATTTAAGTTTCTATCTCGAGATACTAAGGCGTGTCATTGTGATCGACTTCTCGATCTTGCGATTGTGAAGCTGGCGTGTCCCGACTTCTGTATTTATTGATTTGTCGTGCGTGTTATTTCTTAGAAGAAGAAAAGTATTTATCTGCCATCAAGAGAATGTAACATGAACTTTTTGAGGAACCTTCACAAGAACTGTTCTGTGCTCGGTATTATGTTAACGCTCTACGAAGCAAATGACTAACGCGCTGCGTTCCCGATGCAGAGTTGGTCACGCCACGAAGTGCCCTAATGATCTCAGTGGCCCAGTCAGATCCTTTAGTGATAACGTTCCTAACTGCAGGCAGCTGCACTGAATATTCATGCCATTCGCACCAAAATTCCCAACTCAAACGACTGTTTCACAAGCTGGAAGGTCGTGGGCTCAATTCCCGATGAGGTCACTGAATTTTTCGGTTGACCTAATCCTTCCAGCCGCACTATGGCCCTGGGGTCGATTCAGCCTCTAACAGAAATGAATACCAGGAATCTTCCTGGGGGTAAAGTGCGGACGGCGCGTAAGGCTGACAACTTCACCGCCATCTGTGAGCCGATTGTCTAGAAAATGTGGGAACCTCGACGTCTCACAATCCTATGGTCCTCCTCGGACTGTTACAGATATAGCTTTTTATGGTCATACCGCTCGACGTGAAACAACTGTTGGTTCTCCTGCTTCTAACAAAATGAATTAAGTCACAGGACAAATTTGTATAACAGACGGATATTGTATTGCTTTGATTTTTGTACAATTGAAAAAAGGGTATTTTTAAGCTGGATCAACTGCTGAGGATATGTTTAATTGAAACGGTTATATTAATTTCTTAATTTACTCAACATTTTCTCAATTCGTAAGTCATATAATGTGAAATTTTAGGAGTACTATAAGTGATGAACTAAAAATTTTTTTTTGGAGTCCAGCTGGTCCCCTCGGCACGGCGGCCACTGATTGACTGCCCCGGGTGATTATGATGATGGAGAATTTTTTGGAATTAAGATTGGCAGGGGAAACCGAAGTACTCGGAGAAAACCCGCCCCAGCGCAACTTTGTCCACTACAAATTCCGCTTGACCAGACTCGGGAAGAAACCCGGGCCGCCGCGGTGGGAAGCCAGCGACTAACTGCTTGAGGTATGGCGCGGCCAAGTGATGAACTAAGAGGGATGCGAAAGGAAATGTTCACGACCCACTGAACAAAATAGGGATGATCCTCAGGCAGGAAAACCGGCCAATATACATACCGAAAGGGGGTTGTCACGGAACGAGTTAATCTGACAGATTTCTTACTGTTTTACGTATGGAAAGGAAGGCGCTATTGGAGAGGAGAGTCTTCGAATTGTTTCGGTGAAGTCGAGAGACGAACTTATGTAATATTTGGCTAGCATCCGTTTAATTGAAGTTCAATAAGAGGCAATGTAGATTTGGAAGTTGAATTAACTCTCAGGATAAATTTTAAATACACAGGCAATTTACAATAATTCCGTCTAAAACAGATTAGTTTCGTGAAATATTCGCCTCTTCTTTGGTCTCATTCTCCACAGATAGCGCAAATCATCATGGTTCCTAAACCGGCGAAAAATCCCAGAGAGATTGCATCGTATAGACCTATAAGTCTTCTACAAGTCCTTACAAAAGTCTTAGAAAAACTCTTGCTGAAACGCCTCACACCAATCTTAGAAGAACAGAAATTAATAGCAAGCCATCAGTTTGGTTTCAGAAGCAAGCACGGTACTATTGAACAGGTACATAGAGTAGTGAAAGAAGCCTCCAATGCCCTAGAAGAAAAGAAGTTCTGTACAGCTTCCTTTCTAGATATTAGCCAAGCATTTGACAAGGTGTGGCACCAGGGACTCTGTTACAAACTAAAGTCAAATCTTCCCCATAATATGTTCTCCATCTTAAAATCTTACCTTACGCAAAGATATTTCTTCGTCAAACATGTAGATTTCTACACTGAAATCTACCCTATACTTGCTGGGGTACCTCAAGGCAGCGTACTAGGCCCGTTACTATACCTCCTTTACACTGCAGACCTACCTACTACCGAAATGACCATGACTGCAACATATGCTGATGACACCGCTGTTTTAGCAACCCATACGGATCCTGCTACGGCATCTAGATGTCTTCAAGAAAACCTACATGACATGCAAAAATGGCTAAGAAAGTGGAAGATCAAAATCAATGAGAGCAAATCGGTCCAGGTAACATTTACTATGAAAAAAGGACAATGCCCGCTAGTTACACTAAATGACTCACAACTACCGCAAGCAGATGAAGCCAAGTATCTTGGCATACATTTAGATCGCCGGCTAACATGGCGGAAACATATCTTCAGCAAAAGAAAACAATTGGGCCTGAAAATTCGGCAATTGTACTGGATAATCGGACGAAGATCACAACTATCTCTTAANCAAACCGTCAGACCTATCTGATAGATTCAGCTAGTTTTAAGTGTATACATGCCACAAATCTTAAGGAATCTACTGGGATAGCCTTACTAACACTGTTAATGACATAGTCACCACATCAGTCACCAAAAGTGCTCATTGTCCTTAACTGGACAGATTGTATGAATCTATCTCAAATAATAAAAAAAAAAAAATCTCCACAGTACTTTGGAATTTTCATCTGTTTCCGCCTCGGAGCCATGGGCTGCTTTGTTATGTTGCATACAGCGTGTTCTAATGGCAACCATTTTGCATCTTGAACAGAGTATAAAACTGACGTGAATGAAGTTTATTCTGCGTCCTCTATACAAACGGACGGTTAGTAGTACCGGCCATGTCAGCCTCCTAACACATCCTTTGTGACCCGCTATCCATAACAGATAACCCATTTCTACGCTATACAGCAGCATAGTGGTCAGAAACATGTCCTCGTGGAAGACGAGGCCCCATTTCAAAACACTTTAAGTGGTCTTGGAACGAACAAAGGTATTGTCATTGGTTCCGACAGGACCCGAAAGCAGGAATGACTGTGCTGGCTAAGATCAGCAGCAAATTAATGCTCTAGTCTTTCACATATACTTGAACTATGTTCCCTTCAACATTTCGATGGGAGTTTAGTCCAACAGGCCAATTAGATATTCGTGTGTGGGAGTCGTTGATGATCTTCACCACACGCGCTTCCAGTTACGTCGGGTCACCAATGTGGGATGTCGTATGAGGAGACAACCACTAGTCGAACTGTCCTATAGGATTTATTGCAGCCGCATAGTATACACAGACGGATAGTAACAATAGTGAACTGTAGACTAGAACTGTCAGTCAGTCAGTCAGTCAGCCAGAGTCAGAGTCACATTGAAACTGACGGTCGGTCAGTCAGTAAGTCTTGGGTGTCGAGCCCCATTTGGGACTAATGACCAGATATTAATTATTATCGTTTGACTGTTACGGTCTTGTTTCTGTGGGGCGCCTTCTCTGACGAGAGGACGGGTCTATCTTTTGTACGAGTATATGCTGCTGGCCCTTGCCAGCGCAGTCTTTTTGGTCCGAGTTTCTTGGGACTCGCGGCCATATTTTACTGTCTCAGAATTGAGACTTGAGAGAGAGAGAGAGAGAGAGAGAGAAAGGGAGACACACACACACCTATGGATCATTTTCAGAGGGAACATCAATACCGCATTTACGCATGTATAGGACGCGTGCGTGTATAGGCCGCAGCACAATTTTCAGACAGAAATTATAGAAAAAATAATTTTCTTGTAATATTATTTCAGGAGTAGAACACCCTGTATTACTAATTATGAATATAATTTTTTTTGTAAATGAAGTGTGATTTCGAATATTTCGAATATAAGCCGCACCCCAGTTTTCCTCTTGAATTTTTGGCAAAAAATGTGCGGCCTATACATGCGTAAATACGGTACTTATTCGATACACACATAATGCCTGGAATATACAATGTACACAATATTCAACTTTTCACAATCACAGCAGCCTTCCTGGTATTTTAACTTTTAAAGTGTTTACAAAATTTAGCTTACCTGAACTTAAATATATTTAATAGGCACGGACAAATAGAAATGGAAATATACTGAAAACCCACAACGACAGAAGTCTAGAACTGTAACTCGGTGTATCTTCTTATGTAGCCTAGAGTCGGACATATAGAAAACATGTCACTGTCAGTATTGTTGTAGGCTTTGCCTAGCAACCGCTGTTTACTCGTCGTTGCTAAGCAATGAAGCTTGCGTTGTCACGCTTGTTTGAATGTGGGCAGCTCCCACACGTGATTTGAGAAATCATGATACGACTAATAAGAGGCATAGTCAGTAAATAGGCCACAGATGGAAGTAAAACAGCTGTAATGGACGTT